GGAAGGTGAGCTAGAATCTCCTGCTGGGTTGGAGAAGATCCCACCTTCACAGAGGGTTAAGGAGGGTGAGCTGGTGCCTCCTGCTGGGTTGGAGAAGGTCCCACCTCCTCAGAGGGCTTAGGAAGGTGAGCTAGAATCTCCTACTGGGTTGGAGAAGGTCCCACCTCCACAGAGGGCTTTGGAGGGTGAGCTGGAGCCTCCAGCTGGCCTGGAGAAGCCTTTAGAGGCTGTGCTGAGGCTTCCTGCTGGACTGGAGAAGGCTCAACTTCCTCATTGGGCTTTAGAGGATGAGCTGGGACCTCTTGATGGACTGGGAAAGACTCAATCTCTTCAGAGGGCATCTGAGATGGAGCTGTGACTTCCTGCTGAGTTGGACAAGATTGAACTTCCTTAGTAGGCTCTTGAGTTAGAGTAAGCTCCACATCCACTGATTTAATTGTGACTTTGGGCAAGGTTGAATGATGAATTTGATTCTGCCCTGTAGGTTGAAGAGTCATCTCATGATGCACTGAACTTGGAGTTGTAACTACCTCAGGTGGCTGTAGAGACTGAGTCTGGGCTTCCTGCTCAGTTAGCGAGGGCTCACTCTCCTCAAGTACTTCTGGAGTCTGAAATGGGGTTTCCTGTTGCACTGAAGAAGGTTCTACCTTATGAGGAGGTTCTGAAGGCTTAGATGGGACCTCCTCTGGGACTGGAGGTTTAACCTCTTCAATGGTCTGCAAAGTCTCAGCTGGGCCTTCCTGCTGGAGTAGAAATGGTTCCATCTCCGTAGTGGGCTCTGGAGGCAGATTTGGAACTTCCTGATGGGCTACGAAAGGTTTCATTGCCTGAGGAGGCTCTTGTTGGACTGAAGGTTCCTCCTCCTCAGGAAGCTCAGGACCTTCCACATCAGAAGGTAGAGTAGGCTCAAATCTAACCTCCTCAGGGGGTTCTGGAGCCTGACTATGCCAAGAGGTTGGTGAAGCTGGGGTCCCTAGGAATTCTAGGGGTAGGCTGTCTGAAGGATATAATATATCAAAACTTGGGTCTAGAAGGTAGTCATCCTAGAGTTGATTTAGTCGGTTTGTCATTTTTGCTAATTGGCCTGAAGTTCCAACAACAACTTTAGCAAGTTGTCTATGCTGAGCTAGATCCTTTTTCAGGTTTGGAGGTGAAACAATAAATTTAGTTGCTCTTGAACTATGACTATCTAGAGATGGCACAAGTATTTCAAATGACTGGTGACCTTCAGCCTGACTCATACCTGGAGGTTCAGTCTTACTTTTAAGTTGAGGAGGCAGAGCTAAGGCCTGATTCTGATCCCAGTCTAGCACAGGACCCACCTCTGGAAGCTTCTGATGTGGAGTTAGTTGGTCATTAAGATCCTGATGTGTGCCAGCAAACTGGTCTGGCATTGGGGGTGGCTCTGTAGCCGAATCCATGTCCAAAGTCTCAGTTAATTCCTGAGGCGGGGCCAGCATCTGGGCTGGAGCGGGAGGATCCATGTAGTCAGAGCCCTCTGGCTCAGGCAAGGATATAAGCTTGAGGGGCGATTCGCGTAGGTGATCAGGGGAGGGCGAAGACCAGGGTTTAGTCAGGTCCTGGGCCCACTCTGGAAGCGGGACAGCCAGGACCAGCAGCCAAAGGGGTTAACCCGCAGCTCGAGTAGGAGCCGCAGGGACCAGAGGCACTGTTGGGCCATGACAAGCGGAGGCTCCTGGGTGCAGAGACCCAGGCCAATGAAGCGCTGGTGCTGCGACTGAAGCAGGAGCCCAACCTTTATGACAGCACGTGATGCATGTGCACATTAGCAACCGCGTGCCCCTCCCCCGCAGCGAGCCCCATCCTTTGTTTACTCACCACTTTTATTAACTCAGAGGTCAGTTCCATGCCATTATGGCCAGCCCTTTTCCTAGAATCACCAGGTCCCAAGCTTCCCTTCCCCAGAAGATGAGGCAGGGCTTCCTATTCCCCACCCTCACAGCAAGGCAGGATTAGGACTCCTGTCCCCACCTCAGCTCTCAGGCTCCAGCTTCACCAGCTTTGAGGCATACTGCAAAGGGCTAGTTTGTTTCTGGCAGCCACAAAGCTTCCACCTCCAAACTCAACCCCAGACCTTCTTCCTTCTCTTGTCCATACTATTTCTAAGAAAAATAACTGACCTGTAAAAAGAGAGTTATTTAGGGGCATCAAAACCCAGATATTAAAGTGATTCCAAAATGTTGCTCTTTCCTCAAAACTCTCCTTTCCTTTTTGTTCCATATTTATTAACTCACTACTGTGTTAGGTAGGGGACCACTACTCCACGGGGGAAAGATGAGGCTTTCTGCTCCTAGAAAGATTAACAGCCTCAGAAACCCTGTACAGGGTCGCTCTGAGTCAGAATCGACTCCACGGCACATAACCCCTACTCAGTGATGATGCCAAACTTCCTGGAGGAGACTTAGAGAATGAACAATTTGCTCTGAGAGGATTTGAATCCCAATACAAAGCATTTCACATTGGCATGGAAAAACTTTCCCCATCTCACACAGTCACACATCTAGAAAAAATACCCCAACTCTTTGGAGGTCCACCTTTGTGTACATGGAGAAGGATGTCAAAGTAGCTAGCATGTTAATGACTTCTTGAAATATTACTAAAACCACACCCACTTGCTTACTTATAGACTTTTCTTATAAGCTTTTATTTACCGAAGGGGCTTCAGAAAGTTCATGGAAAAATTCCATTATCATTTATTTCAATTTTTTAATGAACTTTTTGAAGCATCTTCTTATTTTCTTGTTTATTTTCTAGCACAGCCTCTAGCTTATACATTTCAAGGGTGGGGGTTGGAGGGGAATGCTTCATCATCTTATTCCCAGTGTCTAGCATATGTGCTCAGTCATATAGCGTGGCTATAGGGCAGTGGGAAACATATATATGAGTTGACACACAGTAATGGCTTTCAAATGAAATTGACTCCAAGATGGCCTTTTTTGCTTTAAGAGGCTTCAGAAGCAGTGATTCCTGAGATGGAGGCAGATATGATGACTTGAAGAAATGGAGCAGTTGGGGACTTTAGACACAGAGAGGGAGAGGGGGTGTGTGCTGACGACCGAGGGGTGGGGGCAGGCTTGTAGTGTATATCCTTTGATTGGGCAATGATGCGTGGAGGGTATTGTAACCATGGCAATGAAACAATATACGATAGGATGAATGTAAAATAATGTTCTCCCATGTAAAGTAACACATAATTCACAATAAAACATTAAAAAAAAAAAAAAAGAGGCTTCAGAAATCTTTAGCACCAATACTGAATCTTATATTCAACAGGAGCTAGACTTCTTAAAGCCCAGCTGGAAAAGCCTGAAGATCCCTTGACTGGATTTTATTTAAATTCATGAAAACAATTATTTTACATGGAAAAATCAAGTACTTTTTCAGAAGAGGACAACCTTCTCTTTTTCTACCTTCTTCCCTTCAAAACAAAACACTTTGCAACTGTGGGGTGAGTTAAGTAACTCAGTGAAGCGCCCATGGATCCAAGTTAATGAAACATAACTTTCTGTTCCCAACTTCATTGCTATTATCATTATTATTAAAGAAAAGAATCCTACAGTTAACAAAGTTTCTTTTAGATATGATTCTGGCAGATTAATGCTTAATTTAGATAATAGATTTATTACAAAAAGTTCCTTCAGGACACCATTTCATTTTCATATAAGACATGAGGTTCTGAGATCTAGGCAATACACCTTATTTGAAAGACATAATAGTTTTCAAAAGTTATAGCACATTCACACTTATGGTCATAGTTGTTTAGTCCCCCAACCTCTGGGATCCTGTTTGAGGGAAGTTCTAAAAGGCCTGGTCCAAGCAGCCTCACAGTCTTAAGCCCTAAAGAGGGAGAATGACCTTTTTAGGGGTTAAGGCCTCTTTAGGTCTGTCCACAGCTGCCAGAGTGCTCTGATGCTTCTCAATCCTGCTCTCCAAACTTTAGATACAGAATCAGAGTCAAGGGCCAAGGTTTCAGGAAAAAACCTAGGAATGACTTGCCCTGAAAAGCAGTTTCAGAGTTTCATGTTCTCATAAGACTGACAGCTTTCTGTGAATGTCTGAGTTTTCTCAATCCTGTTGGTTGTGTGGAATGATGGCCACACTAGCTATGCATCTCCACATACATGAATGAACTCCTGGAGTTCTTTTTCAGTTCTGGAATCTATTATTTCCTCACTGGGCGTATACTCCACAGCTATTTTAACACTTTCTGAAATAAAATAAAATGAACAAGGAATAATTCAAAACTATTGTTTTAAAACTTGTTGCATTAAAAAAAAAAAAAAAAAAAAACTGCTGGGAACTGCTACCATTTTGGTTAGCCAGTGTTTGAGTTAGCAGCCAACCATTTGTCACACCCTATGACACCACATACAATGGTTGTTGTTGTTGTTAAGTGTCATCGAGTTAGTTCCAACTCTATATAGGGTTTCTGAGACTGCAAATCTTTGCAGGTGCAGAAATGTTCATCTTTCTCCTGGCATACAATGATTGTTGTTGTTGTTGCTAAGTGCTGTCGAGTTGGTTTTGACCCATAGCAACCTTGTATAGGGTTTCTGAGGAGGCTGGTGAGCTTGAATGCACTGACCTTGCTGTTCAAACCTACTTTGCAGTCCAGCACATTACCCCACTGTGCCATACCAGGACTCCGCACAATGGCAGCACTTAGTAACAAGGCATTTTTGTGATTCCTAAGGTGCCCTGGTCCCTAGTGGCACTGTGGGTTAGGTACTGGACTGCTAACTCTGAGGCTGGGGGTTCGAACCCATCAGCTGCCCTGCAGAAGAAGATGAGACCGTCTGCTCCTGTAAAAAATGAGTCTTGGAAACCACATACAAGGTCACTGTGAGTCAAATCAACTTGACAGCAGTTGTTGGTGGGGTTTTGATCCCTAAAGGAAGATGGTAAGAGCACTTTTCCTTGAAGTTTCCTCATCTCACACTTCAGTTTTAATCATAAACACTTGTTTAAGAGTATATAATATCAACTGTGTTTAGTTCAAAGAACTATACGATATTAGAAGTAGAAAATTATTTAGGAATCATGACAGGAAATAAAGGCTGTAGGAACTAAAATGTTCAATCAAAATATGATTAAATAGTAAGGCATTAGGTGAGGGTCAATGTGAGTTGAAAATTAGGTAAAAGACCATGGAGCTATAGTGGCAGTGGTGGTGGTTGTGCATTGTGGAGTTGGTTCTGACTATTGCAACCCTATACAGGGTTTCTGAGGCTGCACCTCTTTATGGGAGCAGAAAGCCTCATCTTTCTCTCACTGAGTGACTGGTACATTAGAACTGTTGGCCTTGCAGTTAGCAGTCCAACTTGTTATTCACTAGGCTACCTTTGGGCTATCATTGTTGTTGTTAAGTGCTGTTGAGTCGGTTCCGACCCAAAGCGACCCAGTATAGGGTTTCTAAGGAGCGGCTGGTGGGCTTGAACTGCCGACCTTGTGGGTCAAATGGTTTTGCAGTCATTTGAACATTAACCCACAGCGCCATAGCAGGACTAAAGTATATACTTCATATTAGAGGCAAGAAGCAAACGTCTACTCTTTGGGAACCAATATTCTAGTAGATAACAATGAATAAAACTTTTGGACAAAAAAATGAACAATTGCTCACTTTGCTGTTGTTAGTTGCCATCGAGTTTATTCTAACTCATGGGTGACTCCATGTATTATAGAGTAGAACTGTGCCCCATTGGGTTTTCTTGGCTACAATCTT